GCCCGTTCCCCAAAGAGCTCAGACAATGGGGTGGGTGGGTAGGAGGGACTGCGGGCTCCAGAGCACCTGTTCTGGGCCGACTTGTCTACCCGCCCCTCACCCCCCAGGGTCCAGCTAACGTGGGAAGGACGGATGGAGCCGTTGCCCTGAGTACCCGGCGCTTAAGCCGGACTGTACGAGCTGGAACCTGGCTTTCACCATTCACGGCCTGTGTGACCCCAGGCAAGCGAGTTCATCGCCTCCTCCCTTCATCTGTAAAATGGGAAGACACACACCTCTACCTCGGGAGCGCCCTGCGGCGGGGGGAGTGCCCTGTGGGCGAAAAAACCCAACAAGGCAGCTCCTGATGCTTTTGTTACTCACAGATCATCTTCAGGACAATTCTATAAGGCGGTGGGTGCCTTGGTTAGCCTCCCTGGTTGGTGAAAGGGGAAACGGAAGCCCAGAGGGCGCACTGACGCCTCCTTGGACACTTAGCCAGGGAGCAACAGAAACCGGGTCTCCTTGACTACAAGGTCAACGCTCTTTCTCCTAAAGCCAACCTTTTGGGGACCAGGAGCTTACGGGAAATCTGGTGACAACAGATTCTCTTGCCAGAGACGTACACACGTGCACACACACGTGCATGCGAATGTATGCACGCACCCCCCCCCCGATGACATTTCTGGGTGTTCACAGCTCCTCTGAGGCCAGTCCTAGACTAGGATCCACGAAGACGAGGTTTCACGGATTCTAGGGTACAAATCCCTGTGTCTTATCTTGCTATGTTCTGGAGAGAACATAGCTTTCTTTTGTTTTCCGAGGATTATCATGTGTTTCTTTGAGAAAGAGTGCTGGGAAACAACCGACCGGGAATGACTTTACTCTCAGGCTGCCTTTCTGTCGCCTCTTCTCGAACCCAGACAGGTGAGGCCAGTGTGGAGGTTTGACACCAGGCGAGCGCGCGTCTGAGACACCCCTCCAGATGGGAGGCCTCCCCTCAGCAAAGCTGGCCGGCCCCCCGCCCCAGCCACACCCCTGCTGTTTGTGGGCAGCACATGGGCTGGATATTCTCCGGTGCCACCCCATCCAACCTCTGCCCTGCTCTCCCCTGGCAGGTGTCCCTAGGGGACCTGGCCCTCCGGCTTACAGATGCAATGGGCCAAGGGGAGACCCCGAGGGGAGCAGAGGTGGGAGGGGAGGGAGCTGCAGGCATTTTCCCACAGCCCCCGCCCCTGCTTTGCGGAATTTTCCGGCACTGGCTGTAGCCCTCTATACTAGGGGACTGAGTAAGTGTCCGCAGGCCCTGCTCTCGATGGACCCCAGGAACATCATTTCCTCCCCGCCTGTCCCTATAAGCCCTGGGGATGGGAGGACTGCTCCTCACTACTGCTCACCTCTGGCCCCTGCCCTCACCTCTGCATTACAGGCTCTTCCTGCCAACCCCTGGGGTAAATTCTGTTCCCTGCTGGGACCCTGCCCATCTGCCCTTGATGTGGGCAGGGTCTGTCTGGTAGCACTTATTTCCGCACACTCGGTTAGCTCAGAGCTCATGACCCCTTCCAGAACCTGAGAGGGCAATGTTCCTCCAGGGGGACTCAAAGGGGGTCCAAACACAGAGCTGGGCTGACCCTCAAAACTGACCTCGGGGCTCTCCTCTCACCTTGCACTTGAGCTTTCCCGCCTATAAGTGGGGACACGGTAACGTGCACCCCACAGGGCCTTCTATGAGGACATGCTGCATCAGTTCCAGAGGGCCACCTGACATTTTCCATCATTATCTGTTATTCATCCCCTCCATTTCTGGAAGGGACCCAGGAGAGTCTACATTCAGGGTCTGGATGAGTCAGGATGAGGGAAGCCACGCAGGAAACACTCATACACCCCGGATCAAATAAAGGCCCCAAACTTCCGGAAAATGGCATTTGCTAGTACCAGGCAGAACAGGGCAGCGGGGTGGGGTGGGAGGCTCTAGAGCTGGCCTGGGGTTCACATCTGCCCCTTTCCAGCTGCGTGACCGCCGGCGTGCCTCAGTTTCTTTGTCTATAAAATGGAGACAGTAGTGCCTACAGCTGCTACTGACGTTGCGAGGCTAAGTGAGATGGTGCAGGTCATGTACTGGTGACGGGCCCTGGCGCAGAGTGAGTCCTTAATAAACAGTAGCTGTCACATGTCACTTCAATGTTTGCTTGGCCTCAGTTTTCCCATCCGTAAAATGGGGCTAATCAAGGGCGCCTGGGTGGCTCAGGTCATGACCCCAGGGTTCTGATCCCTGGTGCTCCCTGCTCAGCGAGGAGTCTGCTTCTCCCTCTGCCCCTTCCCCTGCTCCTGCTCTCTTTCAAATACATCAATAAAATCTTAAAATTAAAAAAACAAAACAAAACACCAGGGCTCATCATGCCTATCTGGCAGGGCTGCTGGGGAATGCAGGGGCAGGTGTGTGGAAGGAAGCTCCTGCCTCTATTCCTGCCGTGGCCGTACCTGGCCTGTTTGGGCCGCGGCCTGCAGCGCATACTCGGAGACAGCCGATCCCACAGAAACGCTCCTGGCCGAGTCTTTCCGCTGGGGTGAGGCAATAATGCTGTCTCTGGAACTCAATTTATTGAAGGGGGCTCTCTCCGACGCAGGGCAGAACTGCTGAGCCTGCAGGCCGCCGGCCCCGGGGGTGGGCGGTGCAGAGGAGCAGAGCCGAGTCCCTTACACAAACATTTGCCGAAGGGTGCATTTGGGCCTGTCAATGGCTGTCGATATGGACAGGCTCCCTTTCGGCACGTCAGGATTTGGGGACTTACTGAGTTGTAAGCTTGGGACTGTGCACTCAGTCCTGACTTCTCTGGTTGTTCGTGCGCCTTTGCTGGTATCTTCCCCAGCCTGAGACGGAGGGCAGGGCCCGGCCTGTGCTGGACGCTGTGCCAGGCACGGGGGCCCAGAGAGGAACCCGAGGACACAGTCTCCATGCAGGGAAAGGCATTAGTCCGGTGAGGATAAACCATAACGAAATAAATTACGACACGGCACGGAAGTACAGGGATGGAGCTGGGAGAGCAGAGAATGGAGCTGTTACTGATACGTAAGGAGGGGGGCAGAGAAAGGGAGGGCTTCCTGGGGGAGGTGTCATTTGAGCTGGGCCTTAATGGCTGCATAGGCACTGCCTGCTTAATAAAAACTCGAGGGCCGAGCATTCTGAGCAGAGGGAAGAACACATGGGAAGACACAGAGCACCGCATGGCGTTCGGGGAGGTTTGGTGGGACTAGGCTGGAAGAGGCTCCTGGAGTGGGCAGGGCAAGGGCATATTCTGAAGGGTCTGGCAGGCTGAACTACAGCCAGAGGCTTTTGTCCCTGTCTCTGTGGCATTCGTAGCACACCTGAGAGGGGTGCAGTCTTGCATCCCTGAGACACTGCTGGGAAGCCCTGCTTGCTAGCCCGGAGCAAGACCGGCGAGGCCCAACTGGAAAACTGCCACCCCATACGGGCTGCCTCCTCTGAGGGTTCCCCTAAGCCGCTGCACGACTGGGGAAACAGAGTGCCACTGACTGGGACAGTAAATGATCACGTCCTGGCTCCAGGCTCCATCCCCACACGGGCTTTGTAGCCAACACCCCCAGACTGCCCCAGGTGACACTGTTGGCTCCCCGCTGCCCAGTGGGGACGGGTGAGGGGAGCAGTGGCAGGCGCCTGGAGTAACTGGTCCACCCAGGAAAGCCCCCGAGAGTCGTGAACCCTCCAGTTGTCCCTGGGACTCCTGGGTGGAGGAAGGCAGCCTGCCACCTGAGACCTCAGAGCAGCTGTGGCCAATGCTGTGGCTGAGACCACAGAGCCCCAGTCACCAAGCCCGGCTTTCCCAGGCAGGTGGGGGGAAGAGACGCATTCCCAGCCGGGTAAGGCCACTTCCTGGGCAGCCGTCATAAAGCCAATAGGATCCTAAGTGGGTGGGAGGCTAGCAGCTGCCCTTTACTGCCTGGCCGTGAACGCACTTCTGAGATGCGTGGGAGAGGTATGGAAATGGGATTCAAGTTCAAAGGTCCCTTGATATCCCGAGTGCGGAGGTGCACACTGGGAGGGCCAGTTGGGGGCACCTGCCACGCCTTCCACATGCCCACTGTGGCCTGGTGTTCTCAGGACTTTCCCTCATCCCCTCCTGCCTGATTCCCCAGCAACTTGCTGGATAGGACAAGGCCCCTTGTGAGCCAGCCCCCCACTGTCTCTACTTTCTCTGTTTCAGCCACGCCGGCCTCCCTGCTTCTCCAGGTGCCAAGCTCAAGGTCCCCACTGCTCAGACAGCCCTTTTGTGGGCACAAACGTCACCTCTGCAGGGAGGCCTTTCTAGACCACCCACTCAAGTAATGTATCCGGCCTTTTCCACTCAAACCCGCTGCCCAGCTAGGTCACAGCCTCACCCCTGGGCCAGGAGAGAGCAGGTGCTCACTGAGTATTTTCTGGGGATGGACTGAATAATCACCGAGGCCACGTGATGCTACCAAAGTGTGTAAGAGGTGGAGTCAGGTCCTGTGACCATCAGGCCCCCAGCAGGGAGTGGATGGTCCTCAAATGGAGTAACCGAGGAGGGTCCACCAAAGAGGTGGCAGAGGGCAGGGATTTCAGTGTGAGTGACCCCCTAGGCTGGCCACGGGGCCCTGGAGAGAAAGTGCCGGGTAGAGAGGGCAACTAGATGTGAGCCATGGCTTTGGGTGGCAGTGTCAGCCAGCCAGCCACCTGGCAGGATGGAAGGCGGGGGCCGGGAGGGTGGGATGGGGAAGGGATAAACCTCCTGACCCCAGTCTCTGCCTCTCCCCAATCTCCTGCCAGGCCTCCCAGTGACCCGACCCAGCCGGAAGCTAAAGGGCATGGAGGCTATGGGTGCCGTCCACACAGATCAGCCTCTCGGTGTGAAGCAGGGAAAGGGGGGTGGAGAGCAGATCTGGGGGGCACAGGGAGGGCACCCAGCACACGCAGGGAAGGAGACAGGGCATCTCGCCCGATGCAGCCCAACAGCAGTCCTCTTGGCAGCCCCGGCGCTTACCGTGGAAGTGCTCGGCCGTCTTCCGCCGCAGGGCCTGCAGGCTCACCTCCGAGTCGGCCCACTCCAGGACCAGTCTCCGGCCGTACAGGTGGGTGCTGTGACACAGCGCGTGGAAGGCTCTCTGGGGGAGCAAGGGCAGGAAATGGAACTGCGAGTTAGCGGAGACCGACCGCAGACGCTGCATCCTGTTCGCCTCCCGCCTGCCGGCACCTCAAGCTCCAAGGCCAGGTTCTAGCCCTGGCGACACCTGCTCTCTGGCGAGGGTGTGGGAGCTGTTGGGCACTTTATTCAATTAGCGGCTTACATTCCCAGGGAGACAGCTGCAAGTGACCATGCCGTCAATATAACCGCCTGTAATTGGTGCCCGGGCCCGCGGCCGGCTCCTTTCCCATGCTGTGTCCTGTCTGGGGAGGGCCACCCCATGAGCCGGTTCGCCTCCCACTGGGCCGCCAGGGGCCCCAGGCCCCTTGCTTTTGCCTGGTGGCTCTGTCCTTCACTAGGCCCGAGGAGTCTGTCCCCCATCTCTCTCTACTGCCCGAGGCCAGGCTGCCTTCAGCCTCCGGAAGGCCCCCGCCCTCCCAGGTGCTGGCTCCTTCTCCTGGCTCAGCAGCTCTGTCCTCCGGCTCTCCACTGCTCCTGGCGTCTGAGTTCTGCCTACTCCCCTCTCTGGTGTTTGGGGCTGCTTTACTGAGATGTAACCCACACACTGTGCAAGTCACCCATCCCATCTGAAATACGCAGTTCGCTGGTTTTCAGGATATTCAGAGTTGTGCGGCCGTCACCGTGTCAAGTTCAGAACACTTCATCATCATCCTCCCGGAAGAAACCCCACACTCAGGAGTGGGCGCTCCACACCCTCCCCCGGCCCCCGGCCAACACTAGTCTGCTTTCTGTCTCTTTGGATTTGCCTGTTCCGGACATTTCCGACGAATGGAACCACGCGGTCCTGGCGAGCTCCCTCTTAAACGTTGCTAGAGCCCAAGCTAAGCGGCACCGCCCGGGGGCTCGTCTTGCTGCTCTCCCATGGTTCAGAGAGGCCACGCGCCTAGACCCCGGAGCCACCGCATCTGGGCAGGGCAGGTCCTGTACCTCCTTGCTTCGAGACCTTGGGTAAGTTAATGAATCTCTCTGGCCTCAGTTTCCTGGTCTATGAAGTGGGAATGTTAATGGCATTCCAATCTAAGGGTTCTGTGGGAGATGAGAAAGAGTTAACATGGAAGGCGCCTACAACAGTGTGGGGGTACACAGTAAGTGCTCAATAGATGCTAGCTCTCGTCCTGGTTGTGCCGTTACTGCCAACTTATCACATCTGCAATTTCCTTCTCTCAGCAGAGAGGCCTCGGGTCAGTGGTGGGTGTGGACAGGGCCAGCCCCAGGTGCCCATCAGCACGGGAAGCAACAGTGGCTAAAGGTGGCGTCTTCGTCTGTGCTTCTGGGCTGCAGTCAGCACCCTGTGGTACGAGAAGAGGGGCCGTGGGGCTCGTCCTTCTTGCTTCCTCCATGCTGCGCGGAGGCAGTGCATGCCCAGGAGAGCTCCACACCGGAACCAATCCACCTCTGGCCCTCGCCTTCAGCACGACTGTTACGGGCTAGACCGTGTTCCCCCAAGAATGGATGTTGGAATCCATGCCCCTGGTACCTCGGGTTGTGACCCGATTTGGAAATAGGTCCTTGCAGGTGTAGTCCAGTGAAGGTGAGGGCATCCTGGAGAAGGCGGGCCCCCTAACCCACTATGACTGTGGCCACATGAAGACAGATGCAGGGTGGATGCCCCGTGGAGACAGGGGCCGAGGAATGTCGCTGTCACCAGAAGCTGAGGGAGAGGTGGGGAAAAGACTTCCCTTGACAGGAACCCAACAACTCCCGCCCCTTTGATCTTGGACTCCTAGCCTTGAGAACTGTGACACAGTCAATTTCTGTTGGTTTCAGCCACCCAGCCTGTGGTACTTTGTTACGGCGGTCGAGGTGACCCTGGGTAAGGCCGATGCCCCACCGGGAGCCTCGGTCTCCTCCTCTGTAAAATGGGCTAATTGTGGGATGAACACGCAACAAGCCCTGGGGCTCGCCCACAGCGGATATTCCACCAACAACTGAATCTGAAAAGCACTGGTGGGAGGTTGGGTGGGACATGCATCTTTTTTAAAATGAGACATGTGGTCAAAGTACAGAAACGCTTTGTTCTCAGCTGCACTTTTCTGAGAAGGGCCAGGGGCAGGAAACTTTTTTTTCCCCTTTTTTTCTTTTTGACTTTAATTTAAAAAACTCTTTCTGACTGCCAACAGAGCCTCTGCATTTTTTCCATACGGGTATAAAAACGCATCTGGACTCCGAGCCGAAATGGGCCATTCAGAGCTTTAAAACACATGCGTTCTCAGCGGGCACAGCAGAGAAACAGCCTGACTGCGGGAGCTGGGGTTTTAAGATGGGGAGAGAAGTCAGTCGGGAGTCTGGTGTGGCGGGTATTCGTCCTGGCGCCCGGGTCCCCGAGGAGCTGCGGTCCCGGGGACGTAGGTGGGCGGGCATGGCCACGAGGCTGCATCTGGTGGGAGCTCAGCCGCAGAGAGAAGGGAGGGAGTGGGGGCCTGGGAGGTGGGCTCGGGTGAGGTGCCCCCACCCCGGCCTCCCTCTGCGTGCAGCCTTCAGACTGGCGTTTCCTTCCAACCCCTGGAGCCCCGTTCTCCATTGCTGTGCCCCACCAAGGCTGCAGAGGGCTCGGCTCAATGTAGGAGTTGCTAGACACTCCCTTTCCTCGCTTGCCTCTGATGGCAACCCTTCCAAATTCTCATCTCCTCTTTGGAAGGGCTTTGCAAACTCCAGAGGTGAGGTGGCACAGCTATTAAGACTGGGGGCTCTGGGCCTGGGCTACTTTGGTTCAAATCCCCACTGCACCACTTACAAGCTGTGTGAGCTTGGGCAGGCTGCTTAACCTCTCTGGGACCCGTTTCCTTGAGTGGTGGCAGCAGCAAGTGGATAGGAGGAGCCCGTGACCTGTGAAGTCTAACACTTAGAGCACCGTTATTATTATTATCATTATGGATGCCCTCTGCTCCCCTTATGCCACCAAAGAGCAGGAACAATATTCGGTGGGACACAAAAGCTCTCGTGCATTTGGCGTTGGAGCACAGCACGTGGTTCTCCAAAAACAGCAGGACCAAGCTTCCCTCGTCCCAGTCCCCTCCGGTTCATAGGAGACCAGGCCGCTTTCCTGAGTGCCCGCTGCCTGGCTAGTTGCAACGCAGTGGCCTCAGACTGTTGCAGGCCGCAGGGACAGTGACTCGAGGCTAAAACTGGCCTTGGACGATCCAGAGTAGTCGTATTTCACTAAAAGAGCCTAAAGGGAGCTTGTTATCTTTGGGGGATCCTAGAAGGCAGGGGGTGGGTGAGGAGGACACAGCCCAGGCCTCAAGGGGCTTTCAGGCTAGTGCAGAAGACACGGAAGGTTCCAGGCACAGCAGAGGGGAATGTGCAGCCCTGGCCACTCTGGCCTGGGGCCCACCTGCAGCTTCCTCCCCGGCCTCTGTGCCTACTGAGACCCACGCCACCTTCCTCCCGGGAGTTCTGAACCTCAGCTGCAGGCACAGCACACCTCTGCCAAATCAGCTCTCAGGGCCTCGTTCATCTGGGGGTGCCCAGGAGTTGGTGCAATGAGGGTGTCTCAGAAAAGGCGGGGAGGTAGACACTCCTGGCCTGGTGCTTCTCTCCAAATCCTGCTTCTGCTGCCTGTCTTCTTCCCTTGGAATGAAAGGGCCTTCTTCCCCTTGATTATGGATCTCCTGGGTTGGAACTCTAAGCTTCTGATCCCAACCTACTCATAAGAACAGACATTATTCACCCATTTCAGTGAAAGGAAAACAGGCGCCGGCGAAGGTCCCTACACACGTCAACTTCCTTCTCGCTTCTTTCAGACCCTGTACCTTCCATCCCTGGGCCTCTGTAACCTGCTCTGGCCGCGGAAGGGCTCCCTCGTCACAGCCAACCTGCTGGTGGCCCAGGGCACACCCTGCTCTCCTCACACAGATGAAAGCCAGCTGCCCTGCCTGTGCCCTGCCTGCGTGGCCTCCAGCCCAGCACCGGCCCCCTGAACACCTGCCTGCGGGCCGGCCTCCTCGGCTCAGCCTTGAACCTTGGAGGGAAGGCCTCTCTCCTCGCTGCCCCTAGCAGTGCTCAGGACAGAGTGTGGCCCAGGGAACATGGTCGCTCCCCTTATCTGTGGGGGATACGTTCAAGGACCCCAGTGGATGCCCAAACCCACAGGCGATATGGAACCCACACATACAAATTTTCCCTATACGGACGTATCTATGGCAAAGTTTCATTTATAAGTTAACCACAGTAAGAGATTTAACAAAAATAACCGCGAATGAACTAGAACAATTGTAACAATAAACTGTGATAAAAGTTACATGAATGTGGTCTCGCTCAAAATATGCTACTGTACTGAATTCCCCCTTCTTCGTGTGATGGTGTGAGACGGTAACGTGCCTGGGTGATGAGATGGAGTGAGCGAGGTGCATGACGTGGGCGTCTGACGTCGTGTGAGGCTACACCGACCTTCTCTGGAGGAGGGCCACCTGCTTCTGGACCACGGCTGACCGTGGGTAACAAACTGTGGATAGGGGGTAGGGGGGCTACCATATTCACGGAGCCAACCGTGGAACTCTTTCACCGAAGGTCTGCAGCCTGGAAGGGACGCTCAAGTTGGTCCTGGCCAGAGATGGAGGACTGGCTTAAACATCCTGCTGTGGTCCCTCCACACCCCTATGATCCAGACCACGAAAGACAGAGGAACAAGGAGCTCATGTCTTCGGCTGCCCATATGCATGGGACGCTCTGCCTTCCGATTAGGACATGACCTGGTGCATACACGGTCTTGCGTCTAGCAATGGAGAGGGGAAGATCTGCTCCCAACGGGTACGACTTTGGGACCTCAGGGGACAGGAACAGCCCATGCCACCAGGACTCGGGTACACACCACCAGACCACCTGCTCGGGTCACTGCAGAAGCCCGAAGATCCAGAGTGGAACTCAAAGTGTGCATTATTTTGCCCGGGAGGAGACTGCCACGGAAGGGGGGAGCCCCTGCTCTCTGCAGCTGCTTCCTCTCATCATCCGATGGCCAGT